ATTTTTAGGTAGCAAACATCGTCATTTAATGCTGCTTTCTATCGGATTTGTTTTCTACAAAATTAAAATTGATTTCTTGATATTGAAAATTTTACGCAAAACTCTGATTTTTCTCGAAGGACGGTAAAAAAACAAATTTTTTCCAATAAGATTGACTTGGCTTATTATACCTCCCGACTATATTGTAGGGTACACATTAATTCACCACTCTCTCTAACACCACCACACAAATATTTATTTCAATTTCATTTCATTAATCTTTCCAAAATTCTAGTTGAATTTCCAAAAAATCTTATCTGTAAACAAAAAAATCTTTGTTTCAAATTTTTAAATATTCTCATTTGAATGCTAGCACATCATATTATTTCATTCACATGTTCGTATCAATTCTCTTCGCAGTCGCTCATGAGTGGGTCTCGCACAAAAAAACAGACAGGCAAACAAAAGCAAATACACCTGAGCAGTTCAGTTTCGTAAAGTAAAGACATGAATATATTTATTTTATTGATATTTGCATTTGCTTAGCTGAGTGCACGAACGCAGCGATTTCGGCGAAAAATTTGTTCCGGATATTGAGAAGGTCATGGGTGCGAACAGTTTTTGTTTTTGATATTTAAAACTTGGTGAAAATGTAGATGAATCAAGACTGTAATCTAAGACCTCAACTATGTGAAAATAATAAGTCTTTGTGGAAAGCTTAGTTAATAGTTTTCTCTAGATGTCCAAACCAAGATTTTCCATTTGACGATCATAATAGAATTTTAGATGGGAGGGTAGACTTATAAGAAAACGAGCAAAGTTAAATAACAGCAAAACGAGTTAAAAGCTTCAAAATGTTTGAAATCGGGTACCTATAGATGAGGTCATAGCAAGATATGTACGGTCACTGACCTAACATTCGATAAGGTGACCTTTAACAAGACAGTATTTTAGACAGTATTTTTCAACGCAAATAAAATAGTAGTTTCCTAAAATTGGTAGAGTTTATTGATAGAATCCATAAATGTTCTACTGCCGATGATGTATTTGTGTTCGAAAGTATATGAATGGGTATTCGAAACTGTGATAAGTGGGTTAAATTGTTCTTTATATATTGTTCAGTCGCGAAATTGAATCGAAAACTACATAGCCCTATATAAAATGTACATACTTTTCCTGCTATTTGTATATTTTTATACCTTTTCTTGCTATTTTATACCTACCAAAAATTTTTGTCGGAAACCCCATAAAGTATATAAATTTGATATAAGCAACATACAACAATATCCGCCAGTTGAAATTGTGATAGAGGCCACAATCTAGAGTGGTGAAATAACTGACTGACTGATCTGGAATCAAAGTCCAGACGAAACGACAGAAGCGGCAATCTGAAAATTTTGCACGAGAACCTGTCTTGATACTTGGGCGTGCGAAAAGATTGATTTCCACAAATTCGCACTAAAAGGGTTCGAAAAGTACTGAAATGTACTAAAAATTTAATATTTTTTATTGGACAAACGGAAAGAGCTAGAATTCTGAAATGTTTGTGTAAGTATCACTGATGGAGTGCTGTTCAAAAGGTTTCGAATTTAGAGATTACGAAATGTTCTAACATAGTACTAAACTTGTGAACGAATAGAGCTAAAAACTTGAAATTTGATATAAGAGTCAAGGTTGGAATGCAAGTTTTATAAATGCTATTAAATTTGGTTTCGGGTGAACGAATGAAGCTGGAACTTTGAAATGATGCATTAGGGTGCCTGTTCATGGTAGGTTTGTAATAAAGAGATGGTTTTGGAAATGTGTATATATATGGTACAATTAGGTATTGGGTGAACAGATAGTGCTTCAAATCTGAAATTTGGTATTTTTTTGGGTGAGATGAAAAAACTGCAACCAACTTCAGACTGCTGTCATTTATAAGCTACACGTCCGACAGCTGTTAAAATTATTTCAGTGACAGCTCATTATATTGTTTATAAGCGTACAAAGCATTTTTTCCAGAAAAAAAAAGTTATTCGTGATGGAATACAAGTGTTATAGTGTGTTTTCTTTATATTTGACTGGAAAACCACAAGTGGCTATCGTTAGAGCACTCCAGCATTTAAATGTGAATAAATCTTTTGTGTCTCGTACTTTTTCTCGTTACCGTGACACTGGTAGCATAGCCCGACGACAAGGAAATGAACGGAAGAAAACAACAATATCAGCAGAAATGGTTCGAAAAGTATAGAAGCGACTTGATCTAAACCCGCGTCGAAGTGGCCTAAAAATGGCTTGTGAGCTGTATACATCGCAATATTCCATTCGTCAAATATTGAAAAATGAGCTCGGGGTAAAGTCATTGAAATTCCAAAATGTGTAAGAACTTACACCGCATTAGAATTAAAAAAAGACTCAAAGAGCTAAAGAGTTGCTTCGCTTGGCCGAAAGTGGTGAACTGTCGAATTTGTTTTTCTCCGATGAGAAAACATTTGTTATTCAGCAGTTTGTAAACAAACAAAATTATCGTATTTACTTGACAAAGAGGTCAGCAGAAAATGTACACCTTCCGTTGGCCACCAAAACTCAAGCACCGGCCATGGTGATGGTGTGGACCGCCATAACAGCCAATGGTCGCTCTCCGTTCGTATTAATCCACCGTGGCATCAGAATAAATTACCGCGAAAATATTCTGGAGGGTATATTAAAGACATGGACACGCAAGCATTTTGGCCGCAGACCTTGGACATTCTAACAGGACTCAGCACTCAGCACGTGTCACCCAAGAATGGTTACAAAATGAGCTTCCTCGCTTTATTTCCAGCGCACAGTGACCATTGTAAACGTGTAAAATTAGAATGGATGGAACTTGGCACATACAAGCAAATTGAGTCTATAAACAAGTATTTCAAATTTGATAAAAATCGGTTCAGATATAGCTATATCTCCCATACTTATTTTTGTATGCACTCCATAACAACGATATTCGAGGAAATATACCAAAAACAGCTCAGAAATACCTTTGCCATATTTTATCGAGATCGGTTCAGATTTGGATATAGCTCCCATACACAATTAACTTGGTGCACCAAATGGGTAATACAAGCCCCAATTGAAAAGGACCAAATGCATTGTCAAATTTAGTAGAAATCGATTCAGAGAAGGATATTCCTCTTATATATTAGTTCCTTTAGACTTTAAACTATAACTATAATCAAAGTTGGTATGATTTAATTATCACAAATTCCCCATAAAAATTTGTATTTGTTATATGAAGCTCTGCTGAATATGCAAAGTGGTGTAGGGTATCACCGACCGACATTAAGACTTTCTTTACTGGTCTTTTTAAATTTTGTAAGTTCCTTCCAAATGTTGATCAGTATTGAAGTTTTTTTTCCTTAAAATAAACATATTTTTCAGGCCACGGCATCAATAACCTAAAAGACCTCTTTAATGACTCAGCTGAGGGTTAATTTTCCGGATTTTTTCCAGAAGACACTGTATATTTAAATGCATTGATTAAAAGAAATTTAACTTTTAATGTTTTAAAAAAACATTTTGTTGCAAAATAGTTAGGTTTAATCCCATTATTATTGTTTTTATAAAAACAATGTTTTTATAAGGTTTATTGTTAAAAACAAGTAAAAAAAAACTAAGTTCGGCCGGGCCGAACTTTGAATACCCTCCCCCATTTGGGACCAATTAGGAACCGAATATCAGGGCTTACCGTTATATTGGAGCTATGCCAAAACGTGGACCTATACGTACAATGTTTCGCCACATGAGCTAGAACCCATTATGACCTACAAATACCAATTTTTAGACAAATTCGTGGAAAAATGTGGCAAAAATCATCAAAATACAGAATAACGGGAGGAACCGTTATATCCAACCCGTGGAACTATATAGATAATTCTCTTCCAGAAAATAAAGTACTCACAATTCCGTTGGAAAATGTGGCTAAAATCATCTAAATGTCGAATATCGGGGGGGTAACGTTATATGGGGACTATACGATATCGTAAACCGATATATCCCATCTTCGAACTTGATCTGCCTGCCGACAAAAGACAGATCTGTGCAAAATGTTAGCTTCTTATCTTTATTCGTTTTGACTGTAGCGTGATTACAACAGACGGACGGACAAAGAAATTTAGAAAATTGCCCTGATCAAGAATATATATATTTTAATGGGTCTAAAATTATTATTTCGATGAGTTACAAACGGAATGACGAACTGAATATATCCTCCATACTATGTATGGTGGAGGGTATAAAAAATTAAAAATAGAAGGAACTTCCCGGGACTATTTACGTTTTTTCCCGTATAAACTTTGAAAACGTCGATACACGTATCTAATATTTTTAGCTCTGCTTTCATTAACTGTTCCAATTTTTCTGTAATTTTTAAAAAGAAAATTGCATTTTGTGGCTATGTGTAATCATAAAAAACTAGCAAGTTTCGAAAGTTATCTCTAAAATATTCTAGGCAATTGCCACAATTATTTTTAGATCAGTAGGCCTAGATGGTCGAAATCCTGTAGAAAACAACAAAAAAGCATCGAATCCAAATATAAACTTCTTGCTACAATGACTAATCAAAAATGTTCTTCCATGTGTTTTACATCTGCCCCCAAAATATCACCACACGAATTTGAAAAAAATCCAATTAAATACAATTTCCGAATATGTCACTTTCAAGATTTTTCCGCAAAAAAAAAAACAAATGTTTCGAACTTATGGAGCTAATCCCGACATTCTAAGATAATTTCAACTCAATGACATTTGGGCCCAGCCGAAATACACCCCACCCTCCCCTTAAAAACCAAATAAAAGATAAAACAAAAAAATAATTATACCGAATTAATGACATATTGTCGTAGTCTGTAGCTTTTTTCGGGTTATTTGTTTGTTTGTTTATTTAGAGATTTCCTCAGCCCACAAGTGTGTGTGTGTGAGGGGGGTGGTTGGTAGGCGTCTGTGTTGACATAGTTCGCGGTCTTGTTTTCTTCGCATCGAAAGTGAAAATTTTTATCTTTTCAAGAGCCTACATCAAATTCTCGCGCCCTACAACGCGACATCAACTGAAACGAGACAAATTAAATTTGAGCATTTGTCGGAAAGATAATAATGTATCGCTTGTCGCAGCGGCGTTACTCAGTCGCTACCGACCCAACGCCCGCCCGTCCAACTCAAAATAAAATGAGTAATTAAATGAAAAAGATGCAAAAACTTAACAACAACAAAACAAACTATTTATGATATGCTGCTGACATCTTCAGCGGATGTCAGCACTGCCGTCGACGTCGCCACCGATGTTGTTGTAGCAGCAATGCTGCCGTTGCTGCTGCCATCATTGCTGCCGGCTAATCATTTGCAATCTGAGTTTGCTCTTCAGTCAATGTTTGCCAGTCGACATTTTCGCGTGACACCCAGAAAACTTAAAAAAGCATTGTTTTAACGCGTGCCGTCGTAGACCAGGAAAGAAACAGAAAACAAAAACAAAATAACGCAAACAAAATATTTATTTGTGTGTGAATAAAAATTTGCTAATTAAAAAATCGCCAAAAGAACGCCCGCACGTCACACCACCCCACTGTTCCACATAAATTTACATTTTCGGTTCGCTGCTTTAGTTAGCACTTCATTATATTTACACTGCAAACAAAAACTGTGGTGTCATCTTCATTTTGGCTTGTGTTTTTCTCTGCTTCGTGACAATGAGAAAAGTTTTCGGTTTACCTTTGAAAACTGCCGCCATTGTGGTCGGCTCCCTGTCGGTGTTGTTGTTTTTGTATGCCAGCATTCACACCACCTATAATTTGGTGCAATTTATGACACAGGAAAAAGTCACAAATTCGGTGTGGATCATTGACCCGGATACAGGTGAAATAAGTCATCGTACAGTGGCCGATACGAAACTAGATACAAACAGTCCCAAGGCCCAGTACACGGGATGGATAATGGATACAGATACAGGTGAGAAGTGAGAGAAAAGAGGGAGGTAGGCATTGAAGAACGGAGGGCGTAATTGATAACTACTTTTATAAGCATTGTAAGATTTTTAGAGAACCAAACATGTACTGTAAAAAATCGATAGGAAATTCGTAGAAATGAATCAGATTATAAGTGAAGAGATTAATTTCCTTTGAAAATTTGTCCTTCCTTCTGTCCATATATTTTTATAAGCATAGTACAGGTCACATGATGGTTCCGAAAACGATTTTCCTGGTGAAAACTCTCGATTTTTTCGATTTCTATGCGGGATTCATGCATATGCATTTCATACTTCTTTGTTAGAGAGGATGCATTGCTTCCTTTAAATAAACGGTTTAAAAAATTATCGCAAAGTTTAGGCAAAATGAGATATTTGAAATTTCTGTTGTCCGTCCAGAGACTCACATTACAATTTGATCTACAATATTTTTATACCTTCTACCATATTTGGAGGGTATATTAGTTTTGTCATTCCGTTTGTAACTCTTCGAAATTCTTATGTCAGACCCAAAAAAGTATACCTATTTTTCATCAGCATAAAATTCTAAGTCGGTTTAGCGATATTCGTCTGTTCTTCGTTCTGTCGGTCTGTCAGTCCATCTGTTGTAATCACGCCATCTTTCGAACAAATTGAGATAGAAGGCTAAAGTTTTGCACACATGTGTATGTTGTCAGAAGGTACGTTATGTCAGTTCATGTTTTCCTGTATATTCGGTATTTTGACGATTCACACAACACATTTTCTAACTTTCAAAATTCGGTACTTAAAGTTCCTAACGGCTCACATTTTCTTACAGCCCCTATACAACGGGACCTACCGAAATTCAGTATTTGGACGATTTAAACAAAATTTTCAAGCGGATTTGTTGAAAATTATTACCCATATAGGTTCACATTTTGTTATTCTTATTATATGTAGACCACCGCTCGTGTTTCAGTACTTCCCTATATTTGGTATTCTGCGGATTAAGGCCACATTTTTCAGGGGAATCATATGAAATTCGGTATGTAGAGTTTGTGATTTTTTCTTTATTCTGTAGATTGCTGAAATAGGCCCATTATTTCTTGTATCACTTATAAGGAGGTAACTTCGAATATTTGGTAATTTCAGCAGGTCTTTTCATACCTCACACCACATAGAGGTAGGGGTATTAGGGTTTTTGTGCATATGCTTGTAACATGGAGCAGGAAGCGAAGTAGACCCATGGTTTTTTTTGAGGTTTTTCATAGAAACATTTTTGAGTCCATTTATGCATGTAAGTCCGTATGTCCCACCGTCTGCCCATGTATTTTTGTGAACAAACTTCAAATTCAAATAAAGGTCGCATTTATTATCCGAGTGAGAAACTTTCTAAACAACGTTTGTTTGGTCCAAAGATGACCCCATTCGAAATTGGTGAGGATCAGTTCAAATTTAGATTTAGCTCCCACATACAGGGTGATATACAAAAACTGCAACAAAGTCAAACGCCATAATTTATACATTTTTTTAAATTTTATTGAATGAAAGCAAAAAATTTCGGAAATATCATCAAATTTTTGAATAAGTTTAGATTTGTTCGAATTGGTCACCTTTGGCTCGAATTATGGCATTCAAACGTCCAGTGAAACCGTCACATGCTGTCCGAATGTTGCTCTGCGGTATTTTGGCCCATTCCCGGCGAAGCACGTGCTTGAGGTGATCGACACTTTGATATTTTTTAGTGCCAACCGTGCTTTCCAAAATACTCCAGACACAATAGTCCAACGGATTGTTAACCGGAGATTTTGGTGGCCATTATTCGCTGGAAATAAAGCGAGGAACCACATTTTGTAACCATTCCTGGGTGGCGCGTGCTGAGTGCGTTGGTGTTGAGTCATGTTGGAATGTCCAAGGTCTGCGGCCAAAATGTTTGCGTGTCCAAGGATTTAATACACCCTCCAGAATATTTTCGCCATAATATTCGGCATTTATTCTGATGCCACGGTCGATTAATACGAGCGGAGAGCGACCATCGGCTGTTCTGGTGGCCAACCGAAGCTGTACATTTTCAGCTGACCTCTTTGGCAAGTAAAGACGATCATTTTGTTTGTTTACAAACTGCTGGACAACGAATGTTTTCTCACCGTGCGGTGCAAGTTCTTGCACTTTTAGGAATTTCAATGGTTTACCCCGAGCTCATTTTTCAATATTTGCCGAATGGAGTATTGCGATATGTTCAGCTCACGAGCCATTTTTCGGCCACTTCGATACAGGCTTCGATCAAGTTGCTTCTCTATGTTTCGAACCATTTCTGCTGATGTTGCTGTTTTCTTCCGTTCACTTCCTTGACGTCGGGCTACGCTAGCAGTATCACGGTAACGAACGATGGTACAATAATATTATTTCACATAATATTTATTCACATTTAAATGCTGGAGTGCTCTAACGATAGCCACTTGTGGTTTTCCAGCCAAATATAAAGAAATCACACTATCACGCTTGAATTCCATCACGAATAACTTTTTTTCTGGAAAATTCTCACCAAAATGCTTTTGTACGCTTGTAAACAATATAATGAGCTGTCACTGGAATAATTTTACCGGTTGTCGGACGAGTGGTTGGAAATGACAGCAGTCTGAAGGTAGTTGCAGTTTTTTCATCCCACCCTGTATTCAACCTATTTCGGGTTAATTGTGCACCAAATGATTAATATCAGTCCAAATGACTTGAATTTTGGCACATCCGACCGAAATCAGTCTAGAGGCAAGTACTTAAAATTGGGAGAAAATCGGTTCTGATATAGCTATAGCTCGCATATAATTAAAGTTTAATCATTTGGACTGATATTATTATATTATTATATTATTATATTATATATATATATATATATATATATATATATATATATATATATATATATATATATATATTTATCCGATTTGTGTTTTTTTGCACCAAATGGCTAATATCAGACCCAATGGTCTGAATTTTGGCACTTCCGACGGAATTCAGCCCAGAAGCAAATACTACAACTTTCAGTGAAAATCGGTTCAGATATAGCTATAGCTCCCATATACATGTTTCATCCGATTTGTGGTTAAAGACCTTAATATACACTCAACAACAATGATATTTGTTACCGAGCGTCATATACTGCTCGAAAATACCACTGCCAAATTTTATCGAGATCGGTTCAGATTTTTATATAGCTTCAACATACATCTTCATCCGATTTTACAGTTATTGCTTACCATATATGTAATACCAGCCCAAATTGAATAGATTTTTCAATATTCATATTGAATAGATTTTTTCCGGTATATATTTTGCTCCAACATATGTTTCTTAATATAATCCTTCATTCACCGGAAATGTTTAAAATTTGGTATTTGAAGTTCACAATGGATATTACAGCCTATGACAGAAAATTTCCTGCGCAGATCCACGTCTTAGCTTTTAGCTTTAGCTACATTATTCACCGATTTTTTTTTTCAAGTATCGCATTTGAATATTGCAATGGCTTATGATAAAAGTTGCCTATGCAGGTCAATGTCGTCGTTTAACAGAATTTTTAACAGAATTTTTAACGAATTTTATTTATTTATTTATTTATTTTTTTTTTGAAAATTACCAAATGCGTTCCAAATGGTGAAGGGTACTCAAAGTTCGGCCCAGCCGAACACACAGCTTTTTTACTCCTTTTAATCCCCTACACCACAAGGTGGTCAGGGTATTATGTCTTTGTGCATTTGTTTGTAACAGGCAGAAGGAAACCAGATAGACCCATAGTTCCTTTTGATGATCTGCATAGAATCACATTCTGAGTCGATTTATGTATGTCCGTCCGTCCGTCTGTCCATGTATTTTTGTAAACAAAGTACAGGTCGCATTTATTGCCCGATGCAGATGAAATTTTGCACAGATCATTTGTTTGTCTCAAGGACCAACTCTATTGAAATTGGAAATAATCGGTCAAAATTTAGATATAGCTCCCATATATATCTTCGTCCGATTTGCCTTGTATTGTGCACCAAACGTGTAATATCAGCCCGAATTGTATGGAATTTTGCATATTCACCCAAATTAGGACTGAAAATATGTATGCCAAATTTGATCGAAATCGGTTCAGATATAGCTATAGCTCCCATATATATTGTTCATTCGATTTGTTATTTTTGTCCACCGCCGCCGTAATATGCACTCTGCAACAACAATATTTGGGGAAATATATCAAATGCAGCTCAGCAATACATTTGCTAAATTTTATCGAGATCGGTTCAGATTTGGATATAGCTCCCATATATAACTTCGTCCGATTTACCTTTTATTGTGCACCAAACGTCTAATATTTGTCCAAATGGGATGTAATTTGGCACTTACGACCGAATTGAGTCTAGAAGCTAGTATGTCAAATTTGGTGAAGATCGGTTCAGATATAGCTATAGCTTCCATATATATTATTCATCCGATTTGTTATATTTGTTACCCACAACCGTAATATGCACTCCGTAACAACGATATTCAGGGAAATATATCAAATACAGCTCAGAAATATCTTTGCCAAATTTTATCGAGATCGGTTCAGATTTGGATATAGCTCCCATATATATCTTTATCCGATTTCAAATTAATTGTACACCAACTGGGCAATACAATTCCGAATTTAAAAGATACAAATGCTTCGGCATATTTAGTCCTTTGAACTTTAAGTTATAATTATAATCATAGCGTGTATGATTGAATTCTCCCATAAAAACTTTTAATTGTTATGTGGAGCTCTACTAAATTAGCAAAGTGGTGTAGGGTATCATAAAGTCGGCCCCGCCCGATTTTAAGACTTTCTTTACTGGTTTATTACCAAATTCGTTCCAAATGGTGGGAGACATTCAAAGTTCGGCCGATCTTAACGTTTTGTAACCTTTTTTATGCCATAACGCTTTAATTTGAAATTCGGTATCAATTTCTTAATATGTGTCCAACGTTTTCAAATAGCCTCTATTTAAAGGTACCGCCCAATGTAAGATATTATATGGTATATTGAAAAGCGTGATTATTTTGACTGTCCTTTTCGCCAGGAATAAGCAAAACATTTTCAAGAGTTTTAAATGTTTTCTATTATTTCAGCCCCATTTTATATTCTCTACGCCTGTCTGAGTTGGGCATCACTAATAGCATCAATATTTCTAATTGTTGGCGGAATGAGAGTAAGTATTTTTCCATAATACGTATTTTTTAATATTTTAAAAAAATAATAATTAAACTTTTATTTCATTTCGTATTTATTAGTATAACAACAAATTGCTACTGCCATGGCTTGTAATGGGTGTTGTCACACTGATTGCCCTAAGTCTGTGTCTAATCTACACCGTCTATTTGTTCATTATCTACAGTCTGAACGGTTGGTGCGTCGAGGCATCAATGATCATTGTGCTGGTTGCAACAATTCTAATATTGGGTAAGTGTGCCTTGAATAATAAAATATAAAAAAACATAATGAGTATATGTTCTCAGAAAATGGCATTAAGTTGAAAAAAAAAACTTATTTGATTTCAAAAAAATCGTGCAGACATTTTTATTAATAGAGTATTGCATTTGAAATAATGTGTACAGGGTGAGATAAAAAAACTGCAACAAGGTGAAACGCCATCATTTTTACATTTTTTTAAAATTTCATTGAATGAAAGCAAAAGATGCAGGAAATAGCATCAAATTTTAGAATAAATTTAGATTTGTTCGAATTGTTCAACTTTGGCACGAATTATGACCTTTAAACGCTTGCTTGAGGTGATCAAAACTTTGATATTTTTTAGTGCCAACCTTGCTTTCCGAACTACTCCAGACACAATAGTCCAACGGATTGGTATCCGGAGATTTTGGTGGCGCTGGAAATGAAGCGAGAAGAGTCCTGTTCAAGAGAATGTCCAAGGTCAGCGGCCAAAATGTTTGCGTGTCCAAGGCTTTAATACACCCTTCAGAATATCTTCACGATAATATTCGACATTTATACTGATGACACGGTCGATTAATAGGAGCGGAGAGCGACCATCGGCTGTTATGGCGGTAGCACCATCACCATGACCGGCGCTTGAGTGCTGGTGGCCAACCGAAGGTGGACATTTTCAGCTGACCTCTTTGGCAAGTAAACACGATCATTTTGTTTGTTTACAAATTGCTGGACAACGAATATTTTCTCATCGGAGAAAACCAAATTCGGCAGTTTACCACTCACGGCCCAGCGAAGCAACTCTTTAGCTCTTTTGTGTCTATGTTCTTTCTGTTGCGGTGTAAGTTCTTGCGCTGTTTGGAATTCCAATGGCTTTACCCTGCGCTCATTTTTCAATACTTGCCGAATGGAATATTGTGATATGTTCAGCTCACGGCAACTGCGACGCGGGTTTCGATCAAGTCGCTTCTTTACTTTTGACGTCGGGCTACGCTACCAATATCACGTTAGCGATAGCCACTTGTGGTTTTCAAGTTAAATATAAAGAAATCACACTATCAGGCTTGAATTGCATCATGAATAACTTTTTTTCTGAAAATTCTCACCAAAATGCTTTTGTACGCTTGTAACCAATATAATGAGCTGTCACTGGAATAATTATAAAAGCTGTCGGGCGAGTGGCTTAGAAATAACTGCAATCTGAAGTTGGCTGCAGTTTTTGCATCGCATCCTGTATATGGCTTTAGAGTAGTCACAATTTGGGAACTATACCCAACTCTGAATTGATTTTCAACAAATTTGATGGATGCTTTTGCATCTAGTACCAAATACCATTGCCGTATAGTGCATGATTATCTTAGAAAATATTAATTGGAGCAATATACATACCGAACCGAATTTCGCCAAATGGAAAAATTCGGTGGAATATGAAAAAATGTAATTTTTTAATTTAAATTTAAGTCCCTCATTCGTAATATGCCCTCCGCTACAATTATTTTTGGTTATTTGGAACAAGAGGTACAAAAGCCTCCGTCAAATTCGTTGAAAATCAATTCAGAGTTGGATATAGTTCCCGAATTGTGACTGCTCTAAAACCATGATACGCATTCAAATAAGGCTCATAGATGGTATGATCTTCTTCAAATAAACTCCCAATATAAATTCTTTTGTTACATGAGCTCTACTAAATATGCATAGACTTTTCCTTACTGGGTTTTAAGTTTTATTCTATGTTTCTGATTCAGATTGAAATTTTTATTACCCCATTTGAAAAGCTACAGAATCACCACTCATATTATCCACCGAAAATACCCGTTCACATTTTCCTTTCACCCAATACGAGTATTTCTCTGATTGAAAACTAATTTCCAAATTGTATTCCCTCAGTTGACAAACCTAATTGAGTGATTTGTTGGTTGGCTGATGAGTAAAGAATAGAACAAATAAATTTTGTTTGCACAAAAAAAAAATTCAATATGAGCAACACTTTCAATTCAGAACAAATGTGTCATCCATCAAATCTCCCCCAGATGTTCCGTTTTCAATTTTCTGCCACAACAATTATTTTTGGCAACAATTCAAATGAAACCAAAAAAAAAAAAAAAAAATAAAACTTGTGTTTGAGAAACTGTATACCAAACAAATAAATGCCACAATTGTCACAATAAAATAGGTTGATGACCATTAACAGACCTTGACACACAATTTCCATCACTTCGGAGCGATGACTGACTATATGAGCGATCATATTTGTCACATCAAATAAAAAAAGTTCCGTTTTAAATGATCAAAGCTATTAGGGGAGAGATAGTTTCTATGGCGTGTGGCCACAATCCGTTTATGCAATTAAGTAGTTAATATTTCAAATGGTTTGAATGCTCAGTTACATTAAAATATGGAAATGGATACTTTAGGCTAAAAGGTTAAAAAGTTCATTTTTTTTTTTTTTTTTTTGGAATTGAAAGCAAAAACAAAAAAAACAGTAAAGAAAGTCCTAAAGTCGGGCGGGGCCGACTTTATGATACCCTACACCACTTTGCTAATTTAGTTGAGCTCCACTTAATAATTAAAAGTTTTTATGGGAGAATTCAATCATACACCCTATGATTATAATTATAATTTAAAATTCAAAGGACTAAATATGCCGAAGCATTTCTATCTTTTAAATTCGGACTTGTATTGCCCATTTGGCGCACAATTAATTCGAAATCGGAAAAAATATATATGGGAGCTATATCCAAATCTGAACCGATCTCGATAAAATTTTGCAAAGATATTTCTGAGCTGTATTTGATATATTTCCCTGAATATCGTTGTTACGGAGTGCATATTACGGCTGTGGGTAACAAATACAACAAATCGGATGAACAATATATATGGGAGCTATAGCTATATCTGAACCGATCTTCACCATATTTGGCATACTACCTTCTAGACTCAATTCGGTCGTATGTGCAAAATTCCATCCCATTTGGGCAAATATTAGACGTTTGGTGCACAATAAAATGTAAATCGAACGAATTTGTATATGGGAGCTATATCCAAATTTGAACCGATCTCGATTAAATTTAGCAAAGTATTTCTATAGCTATATCTGAACCGATTTCGATCAAATTTGGCATACTTATTTTCAGGCCTAATTTGGTTGTATGTGTAAAATTTCATACTATTCGGACTGATATTACACGTTTGGTGCACAATAAAAGGCAAATTTGACGAAGATATATATGGGAGCTATATCTAAATTTTGACCTATTATCTCCAATTTCAATTGGGTTCGTCCTTGGGCCAAACAAATGTTGTTTGGAAAATTTCATCTCAATCGGATTATAAATGCGACCTGTATTTTGTTCACAAGAATACATGGACAGACGGACTGACATGCATAAATCGACTCAGAATGTGATTCTATGCAGATCATCAAAAGGAACTATGGGTCTATCTCGTTTCCTTTTGCTTGTTACAAACAAATGGACATAGACATAATACCCTGACCACCTTGTTGTGTAGGGTATAAACAGTAAAGAACGATCAAAAGTCGGACGTGCCGAATTTATGAAAGCCTACACCACTATACATATTTAGTAGAGCTACCCGTAAAAAATAAACGTTCATATAGGGAATTTATGTAAAGTATATGAAATATAATTATAATTTTATACGAATTGCAACTTGTATATGGTAATCCCACTCTGAATCGATTTTCATTACATTTTAGAGAGGCATTTGCGTCTCTCGACTTTGAGTTCTCCTACATTGAAACATATATATCGGACATGTAGCAAATATCTGAACCGACTGTCCCAAAAATCTCTCCATCCATTTAAAGTGATATTATAATTTTAGTGCACGTGAAATCGAATAAAGATATATATGAGAGCCATATCCAAATCTTAACTGATCTCGATAAGATTTGGTAAAGTTATTTAGAAGATTTATGTAATATTTTCCCAATATCATTGTTATGAAGCGAATAATAACAAAGGGGACAACAATACAGGGTGAGATGAAAAAATAGCAACCAACTTCAGACTGCTGTCATTTCTAAACCACTCGTCCGACAGCTATTAAAAATATTATTAATGATTATTGTCTACAAGCGTAAAAAAGAAATTTGGTGAGAATTTTCCAGAAAAAAGTTATTTGTGATGGAATTCAAGCGTGATAGTGTGATTTCTTTATATTTGGCTGGAAAACCAGAAGTGGCTATCATTAGAGCACTTCAGCATTTAAATGTGAATAAATCTTTTGTGTCTCGTACCATCGTTTGTTACCATGACACTGGTAGCGTAGTCCGACGTGAAGGAAGTGGACGGAAGAATACAGCAACATCAGCAGAATGGTTCGAAAAGTAAAGAAGCTACTTGATCGAAACCCGCGTCGCAGGTGCCCAAAAATGGCTCGTGAGCTGAACATATCACAATATTCCATTCGGCAAGTATTGAAGAATGAGCTCGGGGTAAAGCCATTGAAATTCAAAAAAGTGCAAGAACTTACACCGCAACAGAAAGAAAATAGACTCAAAAGAGCTAAAGAGTTGCTTTGCTTGGCAGAAAGTTGATAAACTGCCGAATTTGGTTTTCTCCGAAGAGAAAACATTCGTTGTCCAGCAGTTTGTAAATAAACAAAATGATCGTGTTTACTTGCCAAAGGGGTCAGCTGGAAATGTGCACCTTCAGTTGGCCACCAGAAGGGGCCGCCATAAAAGCCGATAGTCGCTCTCCGCTAGTATTAATCGACCGTGGCATCAGAATAAATTCCGACTATTGTCGCAAAAATATTCTGGATGGTGTATTAAAGCCTTGGGCACAAGAACCTTTTGGCGCCACTTAAGAATGGTTACAGAATAAGGTTCTTCGCTTCATTTCCAGCGCACAAAAATCTCCGGATACTAATCCGTTGGACTATTGTGTCTGGAGAATTTTGCAAAGCAAGGTTGGCACTAAAAAATACCAAAGTGTCGATCACCTCAAGCAAGCGCTTCGCCTGGAATGGGCCAAAATACCACAGAG